GATGGACTCTTGCTCTGTCACCCAGGCTGGAGTGCTGTGGTGCAATCTCAGCTCACTGCAACCTCTGCTTCCCAGGTTTCAGTGATTCTCCTGCCTCAGCCTCCCAAGTAGCTAGAACTACAGGCACCTGCCACCATGCCCAGCTAATTTTGTATTTTTAATAGAGATGGGGTTTCACCATGTTGACTAGGCTGGTTTCAAACTCCTGGCCTCAAGTGATCTGCCCGCCTCAGCCTCCCAAAGTGCTGGGATTACAGGCGTGAGCCACCATGCCTTCCCGATGCCTCCTTCTTCCCTCTTCTGCTATGATCCACACACTTAGATGAACCCCCGTGTAACGAGGCCCATGGGTTCCCATTTCCAGCAGACTCCCCTGTCCTATAGCCCTTAGTCCTGGCACCCTGCAAGATCTGGTCTGTTTGTATGTCTGGCCTTGCAGGTTCCGGGACGAATTCCTGGATCTCCATGTTCTCTTGCTGTCTCCATTTGCCTTTGTCCCTTCCCCTACCCTAGGGACAAAATGGGCTGGAGGATGATGAAGGTTAAAGACTCTCTCGGCCCAATCCTGGGGCTTCTTTGGGCTGCACCCCCAGGTACTCTAGGACCCCACAGTGATTCTTGTACCTGCCCATTAACCATCCTCACTCCCAGCCCTCCTCTCTGTTAAGAAGGTCATGCCCCAGCTCTGATCCCCTCTCCCTTCCCTCCCTAGAAGCCCAAGAGTTTACCTGAGCAATTATCATTGGTCATTATTTGCTCTGTGGTCACTTTTGTGATTTTTTGTTTCACTACCTCGGTGGCATTGTCCAAAGCTGTCTTGTATTCTGGTGTGTACTTGGTTCTTAGGAGGACGTCATGCTCCACCACCACACTGCCAAGACTGAGGAGGGAAGGGAAGATGTCCTGGGGTCAGAATTGGGTGCTTACCTCTCAGATCCATCCCAGACAGGCTTCACCCTCTTTGATCCCAAGGGAAGGCCGAGCTGGTAGGAGGACAGTTGGGGTGTGACTCTGTCCTAGGCACTGCACTGAGCCCCCTGCTATAGGAGTTCTCCCAGCAGTGGTGCCTAAGATAACTTTCTACAAAGTGAGTCTCCGGGAAGTCTTAGGGAAGCCTCAGTGATGAAGATGGATAGAGGAATGGGAACCACAGAAGAGGCCATCCTTGAGGTTTTTGGTTTTTTTGTTTTGTTTTGTTTTGTTTTAGAGACAGAGTCTCACTCTGCTGCCCAGGCTGGAGTGCAATGGTGCGATCCTGGTTTACTCTAACCTCTGACTCCTGGGCTCAAGTGATCCTCCTGCCTCAGCCTCCTGAGTAGCCAGGTCTATAGGTGCATGCCACTATGCCCTGCTATTTTTTGTAGAGACAAGGTCTTGCTATGTTCCTCAGGCTGGTCTTGAACTCCTGGCCTCAAATAATCCTTCTACATCAGCCTCCCAAAGTGCTGAGATTACAGGTGTGAGCCACTGCACCTGGTGCCACCTACATTTATATATTGAAGCCCTAACCCCCAGAACCTCAGAATGTGACCATATTTGGCGATAGGGTCTTTAAAGAGGTGAGTAAGTTAAAATGAGGCCATTAGTGTAGGCCCTCATCCAGTCTGACTGGTGTCCTTATAAAAAGGGGGAATTTGGATATGCAGAGACAGCAGGGAGGTGTGCACAGAGGAAAGACCATGCAAAGACACAGCAAGAAGGTGGCCGTCCACAAGCCAAGGAGAGAGGCCTCCAGAGAAACCACACCCACCCACACCTTCATCTTAGACCTCCACCCCTAGAACTGGGAGAAATAGATTTCTGTTGTTTAAGCTGCCCCATTGGTGGTATTCTGCAATAGCTGCCTGAGCACGGCAATGCAGGAGGCACAGTTCTAATTGCCTTTATAATTATGACTGCTGCTTCCACACCACAGACCGTCTTCCCACGGGCCCAGACACTTACCGTAGGTTTGTGATGTTCACCCCAACATACTCAGGGATCCCGGAATACACAATGTTCATCTGAAAGGCAAGGGGCCACTGTGTCATCCGAGAGAGACCATGGGGCCTCTCCGTGGGACATCAGGAGGGCACAGGACCAGGGGATGCTCCTGTCCTACAGCATCATAGCACACTCATCAAATGGAGTGGTTTCTTTCCAGAGACCTGCCCTGCCTCAGGGGCCTCCTGCAGCCCTCAGGTAAAACCTGGCCTCATCTCTTCCCCCTTCCACTGGCAAGCCCTGAGGACGTGGGGGCCTGAGGGAACTCTTGCACATCTAACAAGGGAACAGCCCCCTGCTGCCTTCTTACCCTACAAACTCTGCTCTGGGGGGAACTGAGTGGCCATGGGGCCTTGCTCTCCCAGACTTACCTGTTCTGTGAATGTCTTATTGAACTCCCGGAATTCCTGGGAAGAGTGGTTTTTTAGCTCATCGGTGAACTTCACACTGGTCACTGTCACAGTCAGTTCCATTTGGGCAGAGACAGTCTCCGGTGTCGCTGAGGTGGGTAGACTTACTGAGCAAAGCATCTCTGAGTTTCTTACTCAGAAGTTCTGCCCCCCAGCCTAGGTGGAGGGAGTGACCTCCATTGTATTTTATGGTAAAATTTTGTGCCAAATTTGTATCCAAAATACACCTTCTTGTTTTCTTTTCTTTTCTTTTCTTTCTCTTTTATTCATTTTCTTTTCTCTTTCTCTTTCTTTCTTTCTTCCTCTTTCCTTCCTTCCTTCCTTCCTTCCTTTCTTCCTTCCTTTCCCTTCCTTTCCTTTCCTTTCTTTCTTTTTCTTTTCTTTCTTTTTTCCTTCCTTCCTTCTTTCTTTTTTTTGACAGAGTCTTGTTCTGTTGCCCAGGCTGGAGTGAAGTGGTGAGATCATAGCTCAGTGCAGCCTTGACCTCCTGGGCTCAAGCAATCTTCCCACCTTAGCCTCCCAAACAGCTAAGACTACAAGTATGCGCCACCACACCCAGCTAAGTTTTGTTTTGTTTTTTTTTTTTAAATAAATGAGATCTCACTCTGTTGCCCAGGCTGGTCTCGAACTCCTGGCCTCAAGCGATCCTGCCTCAGGCTCCCAAAGCACTGGGATTACAGGCGAGAGCCACCGTTCCTGGCCTATTTATTCATCTTGTAATACCTTAGCATTCTTAGCTCTGGGTGGAAAAAAACAAAACAAAACAAAACAAAACACCACAGTCCAGAAGAGGCCCTATTCCTGGCCTCACATCAAGGTGGGGTAAGAACTGGTGCCTGTATGGAGGTTGGGTCCCAGGGCACGGGGAAGGGGGAGGGCCTGGGGTTGCACTCACCTATGTCAATGCTCTTGACCACCTCATTACACCGCTCCCCATCATAGAGGGTGGGACACTGGCACTTGTTCTCAACCCAGATGCCTCCATTATCGCAGCGAGAGTCCTCCTGGCATTGATCTCCAACGCCTGTGGAATAATCACAGAAGTTTTCTTTCCAAGTTCCTCCATTGAGGCAGCTCACTGAAAGGAACAGGGATCTACTGTGTTTATATGTTGAGCACAGGACTTTACAGCTTACAATGCATTTGCACAGACACTGCCTAATTTGTTTTTGTTTTTTGAGTCTGAGTTTCCCACTTGTCACCCAGGCTGGAGTGCAATGGCGCGATCGTGGCTCACTGCAACCTCCACCTCCCAGGTTTAAGCGATTCTCCTGCCTCAGCCTCCCGAGTAGCTGAGATTACAGGCACGCGCCACCACACCCAGCTAAGTTTTTCTATTTTTAGTAGAGACAGGGTTTCACCTGTTTGGCCAGGTTGGTCTCAAACTCCTGACCTCAGGTGATCTGCCCACTTCGGCCTCCCAAAATGCTAGGATTACAGGTGTGAGCCACCATGCCCAGCTCCAACACTGTCTAATTTGATACTCTCATGAGACCCCGGGGGTGCACAGGAGAGTTACCATTATCCTCTCTTCACAGATACGCAAAGTGTGGCAGAGAGAGGCTAAGCCACCTCTCCATGGGTCCACGTTTAGGCTACACTTCACCCAGTCCTAGTCCAGCATGCTTGACTTTACCCCGAAAACGTGAAGAAAGAGAAATCTGACATTGTGAGAGGTGAACGACACAGTCAGGGCTGAGGAAGGAAAAACCCAGGTGAACTTGACCAGTCTACATTCCACCCAGGCTGAAAATGAGATGGTCGTTGTTCTTCAACACCTGCTTTGGAAAAGCCCATACTGGCAATCATTACTGTTATGACTCTTTCTGATTCTTTTTAATTTACTGGGATGTGGAGTTTGAGGGAGGAGTCTAGACCTTATTTTATTGTTTTTTTTTGAGACAGAGTCTCACCATGTCATTCAGGTTGGAGTGCAGTGGTGCAATCATAGCTCACTACAGCCTTGACCTACTGGGCTTAAGCAATCCTCCCACCTTAGCCTCCCATGTAACCAGTACTGCAGGCATGAATCACCATGTCTGGCTTATTTTTCAAATTTTTCTGTAGAGATGGGGTCTTGCTCTGTTGCCCAGGCTGGTCTCAAACTCCTGGCCTTAACAAATCCTCCAGTCTCAGCCTCACAAAATGCTGGGATTACAGGTGTGAGCCATCATGCCCAGCCTAACAACTCCTTTTTAAATTGCAGTACAACAAATAAACTCCTCTTAGTTTAAATAGGTAGGAAGTAGTGATAGCCAACTCTTGAATATCCGTGCCAAGCAACCTGGAAAATCTAAAGCTCTGTTTACTTTGGTTTTTCTTGAAAATCGCTGTGCCTGGGTAGATCAGTATTCAAGGTGTGTTTTGTCTGGGGAAGGGCATGAGGTATGTATAGACTCTGCAAAGACCTGCCTCACCCCTGCCTTCTGGTTTACCCTAAACAGACTCAGATTGCAGGATCCACACTCATGAAAATCACATCATGCAGCCTCTATTTATGGGCTTTTGCTCCAAGACGTTTGGAAAGAATAGACGAGAGAAGTCAAGAGTCCCGGGCACACCGGAAACCCATACATCCTATGGGTTTACCCATACATCCTATGGGTTTACCCATACATAAATCAGTCTCCTCCCTCCGTCTCTTTCTCGCTTTCATTACTGAAGATGCCCAGATCTGAGCTAAGTGCCAAAACACGGGTTAGTGAGAAACAACAGAAGCAGACGCTGGGGTGCGTTCACCCATTGTTCAGCAGTCTAAAGGGAAGGCCAATCTCTGGGGAAGAGGAGGAAGACAGAAGGAGGACAATCTGCTTTTAAAGATGCAACCGACACCAGATAGTGGGTCCAGTGGCATTGCAGCCACTTGGCCTTTGTCGTGAGACACCTACGAGGCTTCCTGGAAGTACAAGGTCCAGATCTCCCACCTGAAAATGCTCAGACCACTCATCTGAGAATCGGAGAGCTCAAGAAGACAAAGACATATTGGAGAGAATCAAGAGAAAAAAGCCATATGATAGAAAATCCAGCCAGGCATGGTGGTTCACACCTGTAATCCTAACACTTTGGGAAGCTGAGGCAGGTGGATCACCTGAGGTCAGGAGTTCAAGACCAGCCTGGCCAACATGGTGAAACCCTGTCTCTACCAAAACTACAAAAATTAGCTGGGTGTGTTGGCGTGCGCTCTAACCCCAGCTACACGGGAGGCTGAGGTGAGAGAATCGCTTGAATCTGGGGAGTAGAGGTTGCAGTGAACCGTGATCGCGCCATTGCACTCCAGCCTGGGCAACAAGAGTGAAACTCCATCAGAAAAGAAAAACAAAAAGAAAAGTTCAGGCAAAGTAGAATTCAGCAGAGGAAAAAGTCACAAAGTCCAGAGAAAACGTAGTAGTCAAAAACTGAAGAACCACCTTCACCGTCATCAATTCAAGATGGGATTGGGCAGTTCTGTGGGCAGACACAGATCATATACCTGTGAGCCTAGTCATCTAAATAAATCAGAGTTTTCAGGTATTTTAACTAACATACTTTTAAAAATGTATGCAAAATATTCTTAATCTGGGAGTCATACTCACAGGTCTATTAGTATATTACATGATTCATGTAATACAATATACAGGATATTATAATAGCAGGTATTGGATGGTGCAATTCTTACCCTAACAAGAGAGAAGAAGGCTGAGTGAAAGTTCTTGAGTCAGAGAAAGGAGAGGGATACGTAAGGACAGCAAAACACTCATAGGCATTGGAGGTAGAATTCAGAGCTGATAGAAGTGAAGGAAGCTTCTTTTGCTTCTATAGCGGATGCTCAGGGGATAAGATGAATCAAAATAAAAGTGAATGGTGGCAGAGATACTTGACAAAGGTACACATGAATGAACTGGCAAAAACCTTCTGCAAAAAAAAAAAAAAGTTTGTACTTTAGTATGAACAAAATCAGTGAGAAAATCCACTAGAAAGTTTACAAAGTAAACTAAAAAGTTTAAAATAAAACATAAATAAACCACTCAGAGTTAATAACATCATGGCATACAAAGTGCAATGGAACAGAGACCTGCAGAATACAAAAGAGGGAAAACAGGACTTGTGGACAGACTACTGGAGATTGAGGTGCCCAGGCAAAGAGAGGTAATACTTTGTTCAAAAAAGGGGAACTTGTGCAAGAAACAGCGAGAGTGGAGAAGTGAGAGAGTGCTGAGACAGAAAACCTTGAGGCGAGTTTTATCAATTGGAAAACAAGTAAGTCAGAGCAAAAGGAGTTTAGGAGTAAATGTTTAAGAAGAAAACCACAAAAAGTAGTGAGTGGATATTGAAAAGAAAAGTCAGTTTCAAAAAGGTAAATTCTTTTGAAAAGTGTCTGTTCTTATCCGTTGCCCACTTTTTGATGGGGTTGTTTGATTTTTTTCTTGTACATTTGTTTAAGTTCTTTGTAGATTCTGGATATTAGCCCTTTGTCAGATGAGTAGATTGCAAAAATTTTCTGCCATTCTGTAGGTTGCCTGTTCACTCCATGGAATACTATGCAGTCATAAAAAACGATGAGTTCAAGTCCTTTGTAGAGACATGGATGAAGGTGGAAACCTTCTGAGCAAACTATCGCAAGGACAGAAAACCAAACACTGCATGTTCTCACTCATAGGTGGGAATTGAACAATGAGATCACTTGGACACGGGGTGGGAAACATCACACACCAGGGTCTGCTGTGGGGTGGAGGGATGAGGGAGGGATAACATTAGGAGAAATACCTAATGTAAATGATGAGTTAATGGGTGCAGCAAACCAACATGGCACATGTATACATATGTAACAAACCTGCACGTTGTGCACATGTACCCTAGAACTTAAAGTATAATAAAAAAAAAGGGAAAATTCAAGAAATCACTTACATGTTGTGGTTGTTGGCACAGTAGTTGAGGTGGGGGTGCTCTTAATTGTAGAAGTAGTCGTGGGGACAGTGGTGGTGGTCACCGTGGGGGAGGAAGCGGTCCTTGTGCTGGGTTTTGGCCCAGTGGTCATGGTAGTGACAGTCTCAGGGTTCACAGCCGTGGAGGAGGCAGAGGTTGTCGGAGGTGTACTGGAGTGAGCAGGAGGAAATATAGGTGGGATGGTGTGAGAAGTGATTGTTGACGGCCTGCTGGATTCTGATGAAGGGGTCACAGGATGGGTGGTGACAGAAGTAGAGGTGTGAGGTGTACTGGCTGCAGAAAGCGTTGATGCAGAAGTAGTGGAGCCTCTGCTGGTTGTGCTGGGGGCAGTAGACATGGTCACATATGTGAGAGGAGCTGCAGTAGTCATTGTAGTTGTTGTAAATTCCTTAGTAGTTGAAAAAGATGTGGTGGTACTACTAGCAGAGGTTGATGGTGTGTTTAATTCTGTGGAAGTTATCATAGGGGTAGATACAGCACCAGTTGTTGCAGGAATGACATCAGAGGTAGAACTGGTGACAGGAGTGGTGGGAATAAAAATGGTTGTCCCAGGTGTGCTTCTTTCTGTGGTCATTGATACAGATCTGGTGGTGGCTACAGGAATGGTGGGAGTTGAGGCAGCTTCAGTAGAAGGGGTAAAAGTTGTGCTTGTGTCAAGAGGAGGTGTTGAAGGTGTGCTGGCCTCAGTAAAGCTAGTTGGAGGTGTGGTGCTAACACGAGGAGTTGTTAATGGAGTGCTTCTTTCACTGGTAGTTGAAATATGTATGGTAGTG